CATTAGAGGAAAATGCAGAGTAGTGTGGACCCAAGCCCTCAAATTATTTAAAGGTGTAAGGCTGAGCAAAGTGAAAAATTTCAGGTTAAACACATTTAACAAGGACTCGTGACGCTGTACTTGTACAGATGTGGGTTTGTCGGAGCTCAAGTGGTGCAGCAGTACAAGAAAGCCAAGGATGTGTGCTTGTAAACCTGGAGGCTGCTCCCAGCTGAGGAGCTTGACACAGATAATGTAACAGCTTGGGATGCTGCTGGAGCCAGGCAACCACCAAGGGAATCTTGAGGTATCCCTGTTGGCATGTCTTTCAATTGCATCAAATGTGTCACAGTTCTGCAAAACACAAAAGGTCTTTGCCCTACTTAATTGTATTTGAGAAAGTATTGCCAATGTTACTCTGAGGGGTAAAGGAAGATTTATAACTCAGCTAAGTTACAGCCAAAGAGGCTGCCCAAGGCATGAACTGTGGGTGTTCAGTGTAAGGGTGTTTAGCAAGGCCTAAATTCAGGCTTTAAGTGCTTTTATAAGACTGTAAATCACCTTAACTTTTATACACCGTGGCAACATGGGAGCAGAGGAATGCGGCTGGTCTGTGCTAGTCCCAGAAAAGGTCCTAGATGAGGTCAGCAGATTGGGCAGCAGACGTGCGATGCTGAGCCTTGGAGTAAAATGCTCACACTTGTATCTCCCCTGTGCTACGTGCATGCAACTAGGGCCAAGGGGCAGGAAACAAGCACGGGGTGCCACAGGAACAGAATACACAAGGACAGCTTCAACACACCATGGGAAGAGCATTGCAAAGCAGTAAGCAAACTGTAAAACACAAGTCAGACAAAACATCTGGCAGCTGCTTCAAATAGTTTTCTGTCTGAAGGGCAGACAAGCCTGCAATAGTTTCAAATCAAAACATGTGCAAGGACAGGATTAGTGCTCCAATGTGTTTTGTGCAAGCACTGAATGAGTTTTGTTCCCTTCAGCACTGTTTTGTATGCCAAGAAAGGTTTTGCTTTGGGTTAGGTTTTTACTTTTAATAAACTTGACTAAAGAAATCCCCATGTATTTCCTTCTCCAGTCAAATGCGAGTTAGTCTCTGGCATAAGATCAAGAGCACTAGGTCTGCATGGGGAGCACATGGGGGAGGAGAGGGGGAGCACGCTAGGAAATGTTCTTCATAATTGTCTTACCTTGTGCAGGGGAGAAGGTGTAACTGCCAAAATAAGTTCTTACAAGTATGATGCACGTCCTTTTGAGTTTGGACATCCCAGGCACAGGGAAAGGGAAAATTGCTTTGTGCTGCAACTGGCAAAGGACTTGAGGGGCACAGACTGACATGTAGGCTCCAACAGGAAAGTTGTTTGAGCTTAGAAGTAAATTCTTAGTTCAGCACATGGAGAGAACTGGCAGCTGTCCCGTCTCCCCAAAGTCCTTCTGTCTTGACAATGTCATAGCTTCAACCACGACCCACAGTAGGTATGTCTGCTGGCACAGATATGCTGCACAGGAATGTAACCTGTACCCGAGACAGGCTTTCCTTTTGAAAGGACTTACAGCAAAACTAAAGTAATGACATACAAGCAATATGACAGCTACTGAACTCCCCACTGAACACTCTCCCCCTTGCATGCATTTCTAGACTTGAATTACTTTTGCCAACGCTCAGCTTCCAGGAGTACACAAAAGCGACTCCACTGCTTGTCTGGAGCATCAGGATACAAAAATTCCCTGCAGAACTGCCACAGCACTTCTGCATCACCAGCAAGGCAACAGCAGGCAAACTGTCAAGGCCGGAAGCCTCCTATGAAATGCAGGAACAGTTCCATGTGCATAAACTTGATTAGTCAGCAGCAGCAGGCAGATGAGATGCTGGCCAGCAATAAAAGGGCTGGTTTTCAAGGAGGCCCTGATATGAGTAGGACTAGCAATTTTTAATGCTGCTCAGAAAGGGGTGTATATGCCTGCCATATGCCAGTGCTTGAACACAGGCACTAGCAGGGGAAGCGGGGAGCCACTGATTCATTAGGATTTGCTAATCTGTGATATCATTTGTTGATTCCAGCAGGTCCAATCCCCATCTCATGACTTCCTCCACTGTTACCATGGCACTGTACATAAACACCACAGCCTCCCAGCCCTGAGCAGGTCATTTGTTTCAAATATTCCATGCAGCTGGAACACAAGCCTGTTTGGGTGTCTGGAGCCGAGCATGAACTAATTTCTCAGTCTTTTGCACCGGCCCCACCTTCTGCAGCCTCCAGCAGCCCTCCAGCCACGCTCCCAGCAAAGCAGAGGCAGCCTTCCCCTGAAAAGAAAGGGGGAGCTGGCCTTGTTCACACAGAGCCAGAAAGTAAGCGCTCCACTACATGGAGCAAAATAAAAACGATTATTCAATGTTGCATGTTTAGGCTTCAGATCTACAAACAGTCTTCTACATGTGGGAAAAAAACAAGATTAAGCCATCCAACATTCACAGAATGCTTGCTCTGACTGGAGACAAAGGCAAGAAACCACTTGCTTTTTTTATTAAGCTCTCCTCACCCAGTACCCTTATAAGGCAGTTTATAAGTACAGCTCTGAGCTTGAGATGAGCCTCACATGTTGTAGTGTTTGTGTGAACTGATTGAAGCATTTGGTTTCCACACACAAGTTGGAAGCTGCAGGGAAGACAAAAAAGCACATGGACAGGAGAGGGAATGAAAGCCTTTGTTATAACTGACAGAAGTACCAAGTCATCTCTCTTCCAATCTAGGGAGGCTTAGCCTCACCACTCATAGAATCTGAGAGCATCTCTGTACTGCACAGGTTGGAGGTGGAGGAGACTGAAGGCATAACCCACAAGTGAACACTTTGTACTCCACAGTGTAATCTCCACCTCCTCACAGCTCAGGAATGAAGTCTCTTGGGCAAACAGATCTCAAAATGTATGAAAACACAGCAATTTATAACAGTCCATAGGGAGTGACTGAAAACTAGTATCAAGTGACTTGAGCTAAATCAAGTTCATGACCTAAAGAAGTTACCCAGAACACACTGAAATCAATCTGCCACTTTTCAAGCACTCATCATACAAGAATGACTCTCCCACCACTCAGCTTAACTTGCCACAGCACCTTCTGTAATTCACTCTGTTGCTCCATTGGCTAGGGATGCCTTTAGCCCTCACTTTGCTTTCTTCTATCCCTCTCCATCCCTAACAAAAAGGACAGTCTTGGTATAAACATAAATAGGTTAGTGATTTGTTTTCATAGGAGCTGCTTCACCTGATAGGAAAGTTGTTTGTTGTAATTTAGGAATGAGATCCGCAAACCTGCCCAATGCATGAAGACAAGCAGAGCTCTATTGAACCTATCCCTATCCATGCAAAGAAAAAGGAGTAGGGCTTTAGTAAGTCAGTTGTAAACCAAGTTAAGTTAGGAAACCAAGGCTGTATCGCATCACAGCCTTTATCCAACTCCATTACGAGTAGCTATTACTTAGGGCTGTACAAAATCTGATGTTACCGTTCCCTGCCACTCTGCACCAGTAGCTGCATCTTGACCTCCCCCTTTTAGATGCCAGCTTTAAGTTGTTATTCTTCCAAGCAGAGATAAGGCCACAACAGCCCCTGCTTTGCCTGTTTGAGCTGCCTTCTTTGGCGTAAGCTCACCAATCATGTAGAAACTAGATAGAGAGCACTCTACTCGATTCATGCAAATGAAAACCAACATCAAGTAATATTTAATAAAGTTTATTAGGTTACTGAGTATTATCTACAGTCATAAAATAGAAAGTCAGGATTTAAAACTGTACAAAGCAATGTACTGGTGAGGTGAGAAGAGATGGAAACAAGGGAGCACGAAGAGCATTAGAAGGAGGAAGAACACAGCTACTTCCCTGGAGTTCTGGAAGACACTGGTTCAAGTTGAAGGCAACCAAGCAGGGCTCCACACACTGAATATTCTTGTGTCCCACCCTGTAACAGAAACTAGTACAAACCCCTACATTAAAAAAGAAATCATATAACATTAGATTAAAAAAGGGGCACATCACACCCCACCCAGTCTTGGCACCAAATCTGTGCTTTAAAAAATATACTATGCAAGTAGTTTATCTTAAAAAAGGTACCCTACAGCAGCTGTTTAAAACATGTTCTTATACATAACACCACAAATATATATATTAACATTTTCAACAACTAAACTCATTTGTACCTACACAGAACTGAAGGGATAACTCAAGAGCAAAAAAAACAAAATACAAACCAACCACACAAACATTTTTCAAGACAAAGAAATGTGCAAAATAACCCCAGAAAGGCAGCATAGTAACCTGTGGAGAGGTCAAGAGAGCAGCTCCTGCTAGTAAAGGAGTGTCATTCTCTTTACTTGGCTACTGAGGTGAGAATCTATTTGGGATGTGCTGATTTTGCCTGAATTGCTTGTCCTCTTTATTGCAGTTCTCTCCTACCCCCACCCTCAGCTCTAGAGAGGTTCAGTTTCTTCTTGCTGTGCCTGAAGATCATCCCTTCTGGTAAAGTCTCACCAGTACATTCTGCAGCAATCACCTTCTGGATTTCTCATCTGCTGATGGGGCTTCTGCAGCCACACTTCTATGGGAAGACTCCCACCCACAAGCAAGAAACAGAACTATTCTGGCTGCATAGTTAAGTGGAGATTACACTGATGGTCTATGACAGAAGAAAGGCTGGTCTGGATGCCTCTAAGCAGCTTATCTAAGAAGAGAATTCGCTGGCAGAGCCATCAGAGAAACACATACGTATGTTTCTCTAAAGCCTTAACATAGAACAGACTGTACGGAAGACAGACCTAAAATACAGGATGTATAGCTATCCCAGCTCATACAGCCTGTCTCAATCTATTGAGGGAGAAGTTCATCCCTTCTCTGTGCTCACATCAGCAAGGGACCCCTGATCCCAGACTAAAGCCTGCAGTTTTAAGTAAGAAAGAAGAGAGCAGGTGAAGACACGGTATGACTGCTCAGTCAGCTCAGTCAAACCCACAGAGAACAGAGCAGGAGAACTGAGCAAGCAATGGTGAACAAGCACACAGGATTCACTATGAAATAACATTAGTACATAGTGAGAAGTCCTGGCAGAGATAATGGCATCACTGACATCACCAAACTAGAAAGTCTCCTGGTGGAAGGGTTCTTGGTTTTGGTGTTTCAGGGCTTGGGGTTGTATTCTTTAATATTTATTGTTTGGTTTTTAAGAACTCAGCAATTAATTCTTGGTATTCCACACTCTTCCCAACTCTGCTGGTCACCGCATGCCTTTCCACTCTCAGAACCTGGTTTTAACATTTCCACTCCTAATGCCTTCCCTTTCCCCACATTATGCTCTTCCCTTGGGCTGGTACAGAAAACCCATTCACTCCTAAGCTCTACAACCCAAAGGATGCAGCACAGCCTTTCATCAGGAGAAGCAGGGAAGCACAGAGCTCCTCTAAATGTTCCTTTTGTAAGCATGCTAGGGAAGAATTCCAAAGAACAAAACACTTCAGTTGTGAAACAAGGATTACTTGAGAGTTGCCAGTAAGGGCACATGGAGATCTAAGCAGTGGCAAGAATACTTTGGCCAAGGAGTTCCAACAGTAGCGATGACACAAGGGTGGAGAGCCCATTGCTCAGTGGGTCAACTCTGATACTTTTGCCTTGGTTCCAACTCTCCATCCTTGAACACGAAGGTCATTGGTAGAGCAGGTAACTCTTGAGGGATGCTGGCAGTGGCAGTGTAGGGATCTCATTCAGTCTTTCCTTGCCCAGAGCAAGCCTCACAGCTCGCCGACACAAGTCCATCAAAGGCAGTGGTTCAGCTGGGAAAAGAGACCCAAGACATTAATATACCAACCCATCAGTTACACTAGAAAGCCCACACGGAAGTTCCCCTCTGCAATACCAGTTACTCAAGTCAAAAGTCATCTTCTAGCTTGTGCCACTTCCTACAGTACCCCAAAGATTCACTGAAGTAAAACACTGCAGTGCACAGCCTGATAGCATGATGTGGTATGAGTAGCCAGAAAGCACCATGATTTGTCTCATATAGTAGGATAACAGCTATCAACCCCTTCACTTGTATACATGCTTCCCACGAAAAACAAAGCCATCTGTCAAAGCTTCACATCACTACTTGTACTGCGACATTTTCCATTAGAGGATTCCCTCCTGTGTCAAACCCAGGAAAGACACAAGCCTTTGGCTATCCTTTCTGCATCCTGTACTTACACCCACTGAACAAGATAATACTAGTTTTTCAGGAATGGCACATGGGGCCCTTTGATGCTGAAGAGTCATTCACAACATACAGGGTACTAAGGTCAAAGCCAGAGTTAACACATCACAGCTGCAGAGAAGGAAGATAGAGATTTAGTTTCTCACAGCTTTTGTCACTATGCCTGTCCAAGCTCACCTTTACACAACACACTGCTCAAGCCTAAGGGGTTTCTCCTCCCCCAAGAGAAGGCTAACACAAAGACATCCCAAGTTAAGCAGATACCTGGACATCCTTCTAACAGCCTGAGGGCTCAGCATGCATCATTAGAAAGCTTCCTTTACAGACATCTTGGGCTAAACACAGACACACCTAAAAACATCCACAGGATGTGGGAGAGTTTGGCTGAGAAGCTGTAGTTTTCAAGAACCTTGATAGAAGCCAACAGCTTTAACTTCCACTAGACACGCCAAATTAATCTGACTGTTCATGTAAGTGTTTTCACCAGCTGAGACACAGGGAAAGCTTTGTTTGCTCTGAGCATGGTCACATTACCACATTTCTCACCAGAACTCATTCCATCAGTAAGGTGGACACAAGTTCATCCCTTCCAGGTTCAAAGATAACAAACAGCTAACATTGAAAAGCTGAAGCAGAAGTGTTGTCAGTAGCCTCTGATCAGGCCACTCCTGAAGTAAACAGTCAGACTGCTCCATGTAGAAAACACTTCCAATGAGAAGTGGAAAAAAGCTAGTTTTCATCTCGTGTTTGGCAACAAGTCTGTGAGAAGGAGAGTTTGTAAGCTGAGGAGAGACTTGGTAACAGAGTCAGGAAATGTATGCTTGAATTGAGCTGTCTCCCCCTCAAATTAGGAGCCAGAGCTGAACTAATGCCCTATTCCCCTCTCCTTCCCTGCTGTGGATCACAAGCCGTTACCTGCTCCAGGGGAGGCAGGTCTCCAAAGTTCTCCCCGTGCTTGAAGCACTGATGATTGTGAGGGATCACCCCTATATGCACCCCTCTTCTGCACTGATAGCTGGCTGGAGAGCAAACAGACCCATCAGGGCAGTGCTATTGCTCCCCAAGCCCCATGTCTCACACATGTTCTGTGCCACAAGTGAAACGAAGGCTCTCAGCCCAAAGTACTGCTGGTCTTGCGTGCTCATGACCTTCAGGATCCATGCTGCCTCTTCTGCAGGGACAGGTCTTGACTGCTGGCCTGCACGTCTCAGCTCCGGCTGCAGTACTGCCAGAGAAGCCTGTTACTGGCAGCACTCCTTTGGCACTTCCCAATGTAGCTTACTCTTAAACCACTGGGACACAAATATGCTGTATGCTAAGTCTGTCCTAGTCACTCCTGCTCCGTATGGAGATAGCTGGGACAGAGGCATTGTCTAGCCAGCATCCCAGAGGACAAGGGGCCCTGACCTGAAAAGCCTATGGACATTAGCATAACAAACACGTTCCAGTTTAATGGCCTTAAAAGGAGAGGATCTTCTTCCCACAGAGTTTAAGGACAAGAACTTTGCACTGATAACCCTGTCTGACAGGAGGCCTCAAGACCAAAAGAGAAAGCACATACATATCTGACCTCCTTCCATTCACAACCACTGCAATCATTGGACAGTGTTGCTATTGAATGCTCAGAAGTGGTTAGAGCCAGACACCTTCTTTCTATCTGTGCCAAAATAACATCCCGTCATTCCTGGCCTTATGCCCACAATTCACTCCTATGCTGAGAGCACATTACAACCAAATCCAATACTGGAGGTGGCCATTTCCTTGCTAAGTGCAGTTCTGTGCCAACAGCTCCACAGACTTGCTGGCTTTGAGGGGAGCTGCAGATTTTGGCTTTGACCCTTCAGAAACCCCTGGATACTGTAAACTGGTGTGGCACAGCAAACTGGGCTTCTTTCTCTTGGTGAGAAAATGCTCTGCCAAGAAGAGCTCTCTATCTGGTCTTCTTGAAGCATATTTCCCAAAGCACTTTTGCTCCTATCCCTTTGCAAGGCTTTCCTGGCTATTCTGACAGCTCAGTTTTTGCAGTGCCCACTGTCACCTTTGTTATAGCTCATGTCACCAGTGTCAGAGGTTTGCCATTGTTCGCCCAGCATTAGTACATGTTCTAAAGCACACATCAGAGCCCAGTATGTTACAGCCTTTGGGCAGACACTGCTCTTTTCATATCAATACAGCCAAATTTATTTCACTAACATCATAAATCCAGATTTTAATCCACTTCCTTCACCTCTCTCCTCCACCCTACCCAGAGGACTGAGTCACAGTCTGGCCCCATGGGAACTTCTGACTGTGAGAGATAACAGACTTTAGCACATTTTGACAGCCAAATTTATTACTAAACTTAAAGAGATTGATGCCCCTATTAGTAAAAGGCCTGGCATGCAAGTTGGGCCGGCTACAAAATCCAGCCCTGCACTAAAAATGAGCACACCCTGCCCTGAAAGAAGCAGAGAAATGAGCTACTTTTTGGAAGATGAGATTCCCATTTTCTTAGATAGGGACAGGTCTTCCCACTCCAGCCTGCAAGGGATTTTGAAAGTCCCTTCATCAGCCATTTGAGGAAGAGAATTGTCCCTCAGTGTTTCCTACGAAGGGACACCAGGATTACACCCCAGTAGTACAATTGTCCGGACATTCCCGTTGATACTTGGGTAGCAAAATAGGAAGGCTTGTCATGTCTAGACAGACAGCTGGCATCACCTCCTGAAACCCTACTTACTCCCTGTAGTGCCTTAGGAACAGTACATGTGTACAGCCAAACTGTTTGATTAGCCATTAAAGCTTCAGAGCTGTATCCTGTTCTGCCAACATGAAGTCCTCAGCTCTCTAGAAGAGTGAAAACCATCCCCAGGATGGTCTAGTAAGCCTGCACTTAAGTAGCACATGGATCTGTGCTGTTAGAACTAATATAGGAAGTTATACTCACGGTCAAGTCCATTCAAGTAGCACATCCGTATTTCACAGTGTCCCCACACCGCGCTTACCACTGGATATAGCTTTTTCCCTTTGAGTCCTCGAAATGCAACACCCATGTATTGCCCATCTACAATGAAGCTCAACGTCCCATCATCCATGTCCAGAACCACCAGGAAAGAATCCGGCACAATGAAAGTTTCATCTGGCTCCAAGAAGGCAGGGTACGTTTTACTTGGCTGGTTCTTGCCATCATGGTACAGTCTGTTGCGCCCAAGGTCCCAGCCCCAAGATTCATGGTTATTTCCTACCAGTGTCGTGTATCCTACTGAATGCAAAGGGGCATCTGCTGTTGCCACCCCGACCACAGCATGCGTGCCTCGCTGCCTCATTGCCCACGTGATCTGCCACACGTGGAGTCCTCGGGTATATCCCACTTTGCCTCTGATGGCATCTGTACTCTGAGCCACCGGATGCCGGTGAAATATGAGTTTGTCATCCTCTTTCACAAACACATTCAGCGAGCGATCATCATTGTTCCATGAATGTAGTAACTGCACTTCGTAGGACACCGGAGGCATGTCCAGTAGCAAATCCAGGCGTGTGGGTTTGCTGTAGTCAAGTCCTTGGAGTTCCTGTTTCAGTGGCCTGTATACAGGGTCCCTCATATCCACAGTCTTTATCCCACCTGTGACCTTCTGACCCATGGTGTGCTCCGATTCTGCCTATTTATAGGCTCATGGATTTAGGCGGCCGCTCCTGCTGGCATTCAGCCCTACAGAACAGGTTGCCAGGAGACTCTCAAGATGTGCACCAGTCAGTATTGCCTAATGGATGGAAAGAAAAACAAGGCAAGAGTTAAACATCACCATACACAGCCTTGTAGGCAACATTTACAGAGCACTGCTTTAATCTGTTTATCCTGACAACTCATCCTTCCTTTCCACCAGCACAGCAGGGTAACTAACGCGTACTACTTATGCAGTATGCCTGGCAGATAGCATATAAATCAAATAGATAGGTACAAAGTTTCCAATGTCCCCTTCAGAAAGGCACTTGAATTTCTGCTTCTTTCTCTAAGGAATGTATAGACTCAGCTCATCATCTCTCCACACTGAATGCACTGCTGCCTATTACTGCATCACTAACCCTTAAGAGGGCACATTTATATTTAAGCGGCCTCCAGCAAACCTTGCTTTTATATCATGATCACTTCTATGTTGTCCAGAAAAAAGAGTTTAATCAGGCAGAAGACTTGGAACTCCATACACAGTAATGCTGCAGACTTAAGTCTGCCCCGTTTATCTTTCAGTTAGAAAGATGACTGACAACAGGGTCTTGTATACACATAATTTTGCCTGGGCTTCCTGCCCCAGTTCATGCCACAAGGTCAGGCTGAGGAAGACATCCCAGTGAAGGCCCAGGCTGCCCACTGGCGTTCACCACTCCAGCTTCTTCCAACCACCATGGACAATTTCTCCTGCCAAAGCCATCTCTGTGGCTATCCACAAGGGAGCCAAAGCACACAGGGCATTTAACAGAAGAGGAATCCCAACAGCTTCAGTCAATTTTTCAAATATAGACCTGAGCTGACAATTGCACTGTCTTTGGACACTGTAGTAACATCCTATAGCTGACTGGTTGTTCTTGGGGAACCTCTAGGACATGAGCATCCCCTAGAATAAAGGCTACATACTGCAAAGACACACACAGGTAACGGCAGGATTAACAACAGGCAAAACTTTCTTCCCTCAGCACAAACAGTTCCAAAAGAGAAGCAAAGCACTGAACACAAACCATCTCCCCATAGCAGTGATCAAGGAAGGTAAGAGCCAAGCAATAAAAATAAAAGCTTCTCCATCTGGAGAATTACAAACCTTCCACAGAGCAGCTGGCAAAGCAGCCAGCAGCCATTGATACAGGTTTGAGCATCCTTTGCAACCCCACTACAGCTCTACTAAGTACCTTAGAGGCCTGACTGCAAAGCAGCAGACAAAACATGCTGGGTCCAGCCTTGAGGGATGCCCATGCCAGCAGCTATGGGCACTACTGGCGCTGCTGAATTACTGTAGTCAAAAGCAAATAAACCTGCTGTATGCTGTGCCTTGAATGAATAGCTTCAGCTGGGGCAGCTGCTCTTCTCCAAAAGGAAAAAATCCCCAGCTTGAGAAACAGGATCCAGGGGGAGGAGCAAGACGCTTCTCACAGTTCTGCAGTTCTCCTTCCAACGTTCAGAGAAGCCTCTGAAGAGCTGAAGCCAGCTTGGCTAGAGATAGTACTAACTCACTTCATGTACCTCTCCTCCAGCACTGCATCCACCAGAGCGTCTCTGCTCTCACTCAGCAACACAAACAAGCCTCTAAGGCAGCTGCCAAACTGGGGGCAGCTATTAGGAGAATGAGAAGTGGGAGGGGAGGGAACCAGCTTTCTAAGAAAGAAAAAAAGTGTTATTTTAACATTTCCTGAAGTGAGGCAATCAGGCAGGGCTCCTGCCAGCTGCACTCCCAGCACTCGCAACCAAGGACCTCATCTGGCACAGAAAGCAGAGCATGAATCATATCTGGTTTAAAAATAAGGTTACTAAACCTAAGAAGCAAAGCTTCAGCTAGAAGGTGACAGGGAAGGCTCATGGTTGCTCTAGGTTAGGGAGCAATTCCCCAGCTTCCTAACAGGTTTTTGCTACTAGTCCAGAGTATGCCATTGGGACCATGAGCTCAAATTGTAGCTCTTAAGAGAAACAAAACGACTTTCCCTTCCCTCTTTTTAAACATGGGAAGAAAAACGCTCGAGGGTCTTTGAAAGTCCCATCCCAACGCACAAGCTGTCAACCAAAGGCTGTCAACAAGGGAGGAAGGCAGATTTCCTAAGGGCTCTACAGTGTGCATGAGAACACTCCATAGGAAGCTAGAACCAAAGCAGACGGCACAAAATGCTCAAGAGAAGTAAGTGCACACAATTCTGTGCTCTCCATTAGCAAAACAATGCCTCATTCCTTACGGCTTGCTGCCTTTCGCCAACAAAAGCTTCAGCATACTTTCCTAAAGGCTGCTGCACCAGAAAGGGAATCACCGCTGTGAAGGACAGCAGGGACTTCTGAAGCACATGGGATAGGGATACCTCTCATTGCCTGCTTCAGAAGGCAAGCAGCTCCTCCTGAACACAAGCACCTTGTATTTAGTTAATGACACTTTCCCCAGGCAAACTATTAACACCAAATGAAGGACGACAGCTAGAAGAAAGCAAAGGAGGAAAGGCAGAGATTGGAGCAAAGGGGTGGGTTAGAGTGAGAACAGGTCCAATGCTGAACACCATATGCCAAGATCAAAGTGCATCATGGCTCCTTAATAGGGCAAGGCAACAATTCCTGCTCAGAGCTGGCTCCATTGATTCCTGGCACTGCTCTAGAACCGCAGGGTGGCACCTTGCCCTACAGCCAGGAAGCACAATTACACCCTCAGTCTTCAAAAGGAAAAGCCTCATCATGCACAAGACAATACAGGTACTCTCACTCAGGACAGATACAGGAAAGCTCTCCCTCTTCAATGAATGGCTTAATGCCTTAGGCAGTTTGATAGGAGACACAGCCAGCCATAAATGAACAGATACACAAGGGAATTAGCTGCTTCAAAGCCTTTGAGCTGTTCCAGGTTGAAGTACAAGTGTAAGCACTGAAAGTGCTTTTATCTGGCACTATCAACAGCTCAGGCTTGCTGCAATTCTGCTCTGCTTTGTAAACACAAGCTCATCCCCATGACACTGCTCTGCTCCCATGCTATTTTCAGTTCTTTTGTTCACCTCTAGGCTTAAAAGCTTTGGAACAAACTTATAAGAGTGTCTCAGGAAAACAAATATTCACTGCTATTTTCAGGGAGAATTAGCTCTCCCTCAGTTTAGCTGCTCTGAGCAAGTAGGCAATTTGCCATACGAAAGATACGCCAGGTTTCAAAACCACTGCTTGCTGCAAATAGAGAAGGCAGGAGACAGCAAAGGCATTTCAGAGGCAGATGTTGATGTCTCTGCTGCTGAATGGGGAGAACACAGCTCCAAAGAGTGTGTATGGCAGAGCAGAGCTGGTGTCCATCTTCTGTTTACACATTGACATGATCCAGGCAATGACTGCCTACACAGGCTCCTCCCGCTGAGGCAGTCACCTTGATTTAGTTCACCACTATGTTGTGTACCACAGAACACAGGCATTCTGTGCCCATGGACACAGTTTACCCCCTTCAGCTTGCAGTGAACCCCAGGATGCAGCCAAGAACCCAGCAAGGGAGAGGTTCTGCTGTGGATCGTTAAGGCCTGTGTGATGTTTTGTCCCCCAGTATGAATCAAACAGCTAATCTGGATTTCAATTACATCCCTAGTGTCCCCAAAAACCTTGCCAGCATCATGCTAAGCAGGCTAAACAATTCACACAGCTAGGTTTAAAGAAGCCATCCACATTCAAAACAAGGCTCCTTACTGCTCCCTGATGATTTACCTCACTCCTACCTATTCAGACCCTTCACCAAATCCAAACACACACTAGAAATGCAATCCAAGCTATCAATAGAGTGAACTTAAGCCAAAGAATAGTCACCCAAAATACCCTCACTGTTTTATCTGAAGCCAAACGGCTGTTCTTCCCCATGCAGGTTATATCACCCAGTGGGAGGTTACTTCAGGTACCTACATCTCAGAATGATGCAAGGATCTCAATAGGCTGCTGTGCAGATTTCCAGCTCTGTTTGGAAGGAACTTGTACAGCAGCAAGAACCCTCAAGGTCCCAGTCCAACATCTGCACACAAAGTATTAGTACTTGCCATTCAGGAGCCACTGTCACTGCTGGTTCCAGTAACTAACACAACTGAGCTGCCAAAGTGCTGCCAGAGGCATAGTATAGCACTGATGGTTCACAACTGAGAGATCCAGAGCCGAGTTCTTAGAAGCATCTCTCCAAAACAAAGGGAAGCAAAAAACCCCCAAAACTGATTGCAAGACACCTGCAGTTGTTAAAGCACCTGTGAGGCACTCGGCCACTGAAAACATCTGTGTTCTGGAGGCTGGAGGCTAGCAAACCATTCTTCTTCAGTTAAACCTCACCAGAAGTAAGGACCAGAACCACTTCAGTCACAAGAAGTTTGATAACTTTAGTTCAGAAAGCCACTGACTCCTCACAGGTCCTCCCTTGCGCTTACAGAACACCCATCTGGAACATCAACTCCAAGAATACATGAAGGCTCTCAAATACCTTCATTCCTGATCCAGTTTTTCTTTATTCCTTCAAGTCAGTTGACTGTGGCTCTGTTTACCCCCTCCATAACATTGAGTGTGCTGCTACACTGCGACCAGACCTATAAACACCCTGGCATACTGCTGGTGCTCAACAGACAATGAATCAGAGCCCTACCATGAAGATTTCCAGCCTGGAACACACCTCAGAAAAAGGAAATATATATTCTGCACATGAGCATTTCCTTGCTTACAGCTTAGGAAAGCTGAACTACAGCATCCCAGGCAGTACTAACAAATGATACTAAACGACAACTGCTTTGCTCAGGTTTCCATGATTTTTCTAGTAAAACATTAGGTAAACTCGGTCCATATTCTTAGGCTACATGTTCACCCCACATGCCAACAAAAGAGCTACACTACTTGTAGTTTGCTGACTAACCTGCTGGCAGCAGCTTACCCGGGGACACCTTTCAAATCCTTCAGGTATGTGCACGACCTGTATGTTGTTATGACTCCCCACAAACATCCTTCACAGTGCCAGCCCTTCTTGAGCGTGATTCTAGAAGCTGCTTCACCACCAGGGGCTTTCCCCTTCCTCCCTTGGTGGTGCTA